CCACAGGCGATAGGGGGGACAGGTTGGCTCGACTGACTCAGTGCAGTGTGAATGCAAACCACACCAGCTGAATTGTAAACAAATGTTCTGAATATTGGTCTCCAATCGAACTGAGTCTACCAGACTATCAGGTGTGAAAACACCCTAAGTGTCAGTCAGTTCTTTACTGATTTTTAAACAGTGCCGTGTGAACCAGCCTCAAACCCAAACTAAAAAGATAAACACTTTCAGATCAAATCACTTGTTTGGTTTTGGTGGATGATTTAACTGCAGATATTATTATACCAGATCAAAAACAATCTTGATAATGCAATACATAGTTTGTGAAAATAATACACTAAAACAAAAACAGGATTTCACAAATTGTACCGGTCTGTCTAGAACACCGTGTACTCTCTCCATCGCTTAAGTCTTCTTACGACTCTTGCTCGTAAATGATCTTTGATCCAGTTGGATGCTCCGTGCCCACTTTTCTTTGCTAAGTGCATTAATCCAATCGTTTTGGTGTATTCTGTATAAACTTTGCAATTTTACAGCCATGGGAACCTGCTAGTAGTTGATCGATGTTAACATCTCTGTGGCCAATACAGATTTTTAGAAATTAGGGCAGCCATGTTTCTTGACAAAGTTCCTAAAGTTGACACAGGTTGTTATAGATTCAAATATATTTAAAAAAATGTGCACAATTTTACAGTGTTTTGGTGGCAAATACTGCTTCCAGGATGGGTAAAGAAGGCTCCCATCTAAAGCTAAATTAATTAAATCTGATTTAGATGAGAATTTGTGGTTCAGTTGGTATCAGGAAAACAAGAAGTGTGGAAACATCAGCCTGTAAACAAGAGGCTAAAGGAGGTGTTTCCGTCATAGATCAAGGGGTTAATAACCTTTATTCTTGACCAAATCAGCTCAAAAACGTCTCATTGAATCAATGCTTCACTACATCTGATTGATCTGAGTGTTTGTTGATGAGAGCTGGAATTTGAGGGCCTCTAATTTAAGCCTATACCCCCCAAAATCCACGTGACCCCGAGTCAAAAACAATCTGCTGTAAATGATTGGCCAGGTGACATCATGTATGTTTGAAAAGAGAATATCCAATAAGATCACAGCATGTGTAAAGGCAAAAACATGTTTTTTAAACTGGTATAAATTTAATTATTTAATGTGACAGAAAGGGGCCTCAAAGAATGACACAGGTCCAAAGCTACATATAGTTCTGTCTACATCTACTGTATCAGCTCTGTGCACGTAGAATATAACTGTATGACGCCACAAACATGTAGACATTACTCGTTGTAGTTAATGATTGAACACATTCACATTTTTCAGTCATAAAAAAAAAACATTATTTTTACATTAAGACCCTTTTTTAATGACAATATCAGTGTTTCCCCTAGTTAGCTTGTCATGGCGGGGTGCTCATCTCATCCATGATTTTTACTGATGTGGGGACGGAGACATGTCTGAGTGCAGCTTGTACTAACAGTTCTGAGCGGGAGCGGGGGGCGTTCTACATGAGGGAAGAGGCAATGTGAGTGCTGCCTTTGGCTTTTTAGCTAGAGAGCCTGTATTTTGTGCCGCTAGCTTAGAGATACGTCAGTGCTGGGTGGGGGTGGGAGGGGTAAGTTCAGTTTGGTAGGCAGGGTGCTCATTTCTGTTGATGGGGTGGGGCACCCCGCCTGTATAATGGTAGGGGAAACACTGAATATACAATATAGAATTAATTTTTTTGCATACACTAAAAGCTATAATGTAAACTGAACTTTTATTTTGAATATATCTTCACAGTCCACCTTTCCTTACAAAATATACACCAACGTATCAAGTTTCACTTAATTAATCAACTAATGCAAAATTGCTCTCACTTCCTTACTTTTTAAACTGACGTAATGGTTGAACGGATGCCAACATGTGCCTTTTGGCGATGTTCAGACAAGCTGACTGACAGATTTGTGACACAGTGGCGGGCAAATCATTGTTGTTTTCTAAATAGAGTTAAGGGTAATACCGCTGAGGTAGCATAAAACTTTTAAGTTTCTTTTACAAAAGGTGTGGTGGCTCTTATTTTTTTCTTTCAGTGCCATAGAAATGCTATGTAGTCAAAAACAAAAGTAGGCACCCGACTTTCAAAGTTTTCACCAACTTTTAATTGTTAACCAACAGTGATTTAGAGTATTTTAAATAGTTGTTAAAAATGTACTGAGTCAAATAATTTTTGTGACTAGTTTTCATATACAGTAGTCATTCAGTACTTTGCGGACTCACTGTTTTGCAGGTTTTCAACTTAAGATTGTACATGATACACGATTGTTAACTTTAACTCACTCACGTGATTGGGAAGGTATGGGATAAAAAGTTAACGGGAGCAGGAATCAACCAACAGGACAAAAAACAAAAGAAAAATTATTCGGACAGGTGCCACAATTGTATAGTTTTCTTTCAATAAGCTTATATTGTAACGCAAGTCAAAAGAACTACACAGCCCAGAAGGCAACAGTGCTTCCGGACGCTGCTTTCTGACGAAATTCAAAGAACAGCAATGGAGAGGGCAAACACCAGTGGAGAAACCGATGTGGTAAAAATGGTTTTGCAACGCAGTCAAAAAGTCACAATCTATTTATTAAGCTCAGAACTGGCAGGAAAGTCACAAATAACCCTGAAGCTGAACTCATCTTCACTGGTGAGTACCCCAATATTTTTTTTGCAATGCTGTACAGTAGGAATGCGCGATATAAATGGTATATGGTAGAAACGATAGAAATTTAGCCTACGATATAGATCTGTCTTCTACCGGCTAACTGCAGTAATGCTGTGTCTGAAGTAAAATCAGAGTTGTCGGTTTAATCTTTACTTTTTTTGAGCTGAAAAATGTGCGCAAGTGGTGTTAAAGTCTTTTCTTCAAGAGCTAAGTAGCAAAGCTACAAGCTAACTACACCCGGATTGCCGTAGTGTTGCCGTATTCTGACGCATGCGCAAAATGCTGTGTTCCGTCGAAAGGTTTTTTTTTTTTTGTCGAAAGTTAAAGTAAACGTTGGTCAGCTTTAGAGAAACCTGCTCTCTGATCTGTTATAAGAACGCTGTCTTATGTGATTTTACTGCGAGACCCTCTGGTCAAAGCCACAGACTCATTTTGTGTCAGCTCTCCATTAAAGCAGAAGGAGTCGCCCACTAGAGGGTTGGAGGGTCAAGTGTTTCAGTGTAAAATGCTGCTCTGTTGCTGTTCATTTCTTAAGTGAGAAGACTGGAAACTGTTAAGTTAACATATTCTTTTGTTTAAAAGATATGGCTAAAACTACATTTTATACATTTTGCACTGTTTTGCACTACAAGCAAGAAGCCTAATACTTGATTTGTTTATTATTTAAAAACTCTCTGGACCTAGTAGTGGAATTTTTTAAATTCAAAATATATGATAGCAAAAGGACACCCTATGCTTTAAAAAAAAACTATTAAGTTTTATACCTAAAGCATATCACGATATATATCGTTATCGCCACCCTTCACAATACATATCGTGATATGAATTTTATGCCATATCGCACATTCCTACTGTACAGTACATATGTACATGTGTTAAAATTACGTAGGTTTAAGAGTTTAGAACATTGCAAGAGTGGGAAGGGTTTATAAAGCCTTAAAATATATATACAGTATATACTCAAATAAAAATAATGTACCTACTTTGTGGATTTTCACCTATCGCGGGGATGTCTGAAACATAACCCCCACGATAAGTGAGGAACTAATGTACAGCTGAGTAGAAACATTTCGTCTTTCATCCTTCAGTCTTGAAATACATACCAGACATACACATATATATATATATATACATACAGTATATAACACATACAGTACATATATATATATATATATATATATATATATATATATATATATATATATGTGTGTATATACACATATACACACACACACACACACACACACACACACAAATATACAGACCATTTCCAAAAAAATTAGAATATCTTGGAAAAGTTGTTTAACTTCCAATATTCCATTCAAGTTAGATTCAGGGCCCACAATTTAAACAATTTCAAGTATTTATTTGCTTATTTTTAAATAATTTGGGCTTCCAGCTCATTAAACCCATGAAAACAGGATTAAAAAAAAAAGAATACTGTGTAGAAATCAGACCAATTTTTGCAGGGCATGAATGTTTTAAACTGAGTGTGACACACTGATCATCTACTAAACACTCTCTCTCTCTCTTTCTCTCTCTCGAACCGCAACTTTCTGGTACCAAGTCGGCTGCCCTACCTCTCCACCATCTCGGCCCCCTAAAGAACAAGTTTCCACTGCAATTTATGGATTTATAGTCCCTCCAGTGAGTTTTGGGTCTGTCCCCAGGGCCTCTACCTAGTGGGACATGCCTTGAAAACCTCCAAATGGAGGTGTCAAAAAGACATTCGAATTAGATGCCAGAACCACCTCAACCTTTCAGGTGACAGAGTTCCTCATCTTAGGTCTAAGACTGAGATGACCACCCTACAAAGGAAGATCAGTTCTGTCAATTGTATTCGGGATCTCATTCTATCGATCATTGCCTCTTCGGGGGTCTCCACAGTGAATCATCCTTCTCCATCTCACTCTGTCCTCTGCATCCTCTGTCCTTACTCCAACTATGTCCATGTCCTCTCTAAATGCATCCATATATCTCCTATTTGGCCTTCTTTTGATCATTTTCTAAACCTAACACACTGTCGCCCCTCTGCACAGGAGGGTTAAAACATAGATGAACCAGTAAATCCTGAACTTTGCCTTCAAGCGTAACATTTTTTTTCACTATGACCAACCGAGGCAATGCCCTCGTTACTGAGGACAAGACTATTCAATTCACATCAATTCAGTTTATTTATTTAGCGCCAAGTCACAACAGAAGTCATCTCAGGGCACTGAACAGAAACATTCATATACAAAAATACATTAATAAAATAAGTTAACGTGAGACACTTTAACTCCTCCACTTAAGGCCGACTCACCCGACTTGGAGAAAGACCACCAACAGGATTGGAGACAAGGAACAGCCCTGGTGAAGTCCACCCTGGACCAAGAACAAAAAAAGACTGTGTCAGAGATGCAGACATATCTTGCTGCATAGTTGTATACTTTTAAAACAATGTGAAAAAATCTTAACAGTTGCGAGCACCCTTGCTAATATAAATGTGATAAATACTGTATCAGTTAGTAACCTAAGAGCCAAACAATGTGATGGTAAAAGCAAGAATACCTGTTTGGTCACCTGCTTATCTACATGTGGGAAGGGGAATATTAAGTATTGTTCAAATTATCCATTTCTATTTTAAACACAGTCCAAAACATGCATGCAATAACTCCCTTCACTCCTCTTTACACCTATTCAACATCAGCGGGGTCTTCATGTCCGACCTTTTCAGAATCTTCCTGAACCCAACAATCCGTCACCCTCGCTTCAAACAGTGATCGCTTCACTGTGCTGAACCTGGAACAAACCCAGGCTTTTGAGATCTCAGTTCATTACCATCTACAAGCATAATATTTTTTCTTTAAAAAGGTCCATTTTTCACAACAGCTGAATCATTCGGAAGCCAAAGAATTTTAAATGTATATAAAACGTTGCCCGTTTCCTGTACATCTTAATTTACAGTTGAGAAAAGTTCTGTGTGAGCGCATGAAGGCTGTTTAAAATAAAGAGTTTCTTATTCGAGTTCCAATGAAAACCGTAGCTAAAAGGTTTTGTACGTAAGATTTTTTTCCAGAGAATCTCAAAACACATCAGCAATAATTGCAGGGTCTCTAATAAATACTAGAGATCATAAATATGTTGAACAGAATTTCTGACATCTGTGATTTGTGTAAAGCAATTCTCCCAATGATTGTTGACATAAGAAACATTCTCTTACTTCAGTCTCATCTAAGATTAAAGGCCAGTCGGACTAAAGTAAACACCGTTTTGGCCTTTTGTACGTAAATCCAAAGTGTCGTAACCTGAGACCGCTCAGTTCATCTTATCGCTCAGTATTGATTCGCCTGCTCGTGTGTGCTAGTAATGACGCCAGGTATTAGGTTTTGTAATGATGTGTAATTGTTACATTAAAAAGTTTAAATCTTGATTGTAGCAGAATGTTGAATGATGAGTTCAACTGAGAACATCGTAATAAGCCTGGTGGTATTAACTTTTTGCCTCTATGAGTTTATTTTCAGTTAAAGCAAAGTTTTATCTGTAATAAAAACCAAACAGTTACTGACAACGTGTAAAACACATTTTCTTTAGGTGATTGGACCTCACAATTACTGGTATGTCAAGTCTTGCTAAAAATGGTCAGTGGAAAAACTTAATTCAAATTTTGAATAAAAGTTTTCTCTTCTTGCATCTCCTTAAAAGAATAAGTAAATGAAAAACTAATTGTAGATGCTATTACCACCTGTATTTTTGGATACATTAACAGAAGTCAAATTTTCAGATGTCAGACTAGCAGCACGATATGGAGTTTTTGTACCAAATATCTACATGGACACTATGTAGCAGTTGTGAGGTTCAATGTGATTGTTTTCGCATAGTCAAGGGAACGCTGTGATCATAAAATACGTGGCTAATGCTCAGCACGGCTATGTCGCTGTTGCACGTCATATTCACCACCATCCACAAAGATACGAGTTGTGCATGTTCGCTTTCCAAATTAAGCTAGATCTTGAAGGAGTGCAGCAAACATCCAGAAGGAGTTTAGGAGCCAAGACACATATGACAACTCAATCTTATGGCCTTTTTCCAAAGGTTTGACTTGACTCTACTTGGTTCAACCCGATGCAGGTTCAGTCTTTCCACTGGGTGGTCATTCCCACCTGATTTTAGTTTGGTTCTTAAGGCATACCTGGCCTATGTTCCAAGTGAGCCGAGCAGAGCTAAAGGTTTGATGCCAGCAGACTGCAGGACATTGACTGGCCAGAGAAATGTCAATATAAAACATGAATCAAAGAAACCACCAGTTTTAAAACCTCACAACCGCAGCATTCGTTTTTTTTTTAATTAACTTTTCATTAATTTAATTAATATATCCAATTTCATTCATTCAACCTTTATTTATACAGGGTAATCCCATTGAACCTCGGGGACTCATTTACAAGAGAGATCTGATTTTAACAAAGAATGATGACAACAGTAGACAATCGTAAAAGAAAGCATACAAATTGAGAAGAACAAGTGAAAAAAAAATGTATTAAAAAATGAAACAAAAACGGCTAGGTTGTAAGGCGATGTAGAAAACTAAAAACAGGAACATGTCAGCACTGATTTTTGCCATGAACTTAACAGATGTTTTAAAGCCACTTAAGAGAGGTCATGGTCGAGAGCTTCAGATCTTTTTGTAAGATATTCCAGGAAACAGGAGCGGAGTAGGAGAAGGCCCTTTTGCCTAGTTCAGTCCGCACTGAGGGAACACTGCAGGTAATAATGTCCTGAGAGCGCACGCTGTAGCTGCACTCACACAGAGACATGTAGGAGGAGATGTATGAAGGCAGCAGACCAAGAAGTGATTTAAAGATGAAAATGTACCAGTGAGAGAGTCTACGTGAAGTTAATGATGACCAGTTAACCAGTGAATACAGGGTGCAGTGGTGGGTATGGTAGTTACAGCCAGTTATGAATCTAGGCGTCCAGCATCTGCAGGTTGCGAATGTCAACAGAACGTCAACATTTAAACCACCACTGTGATACTGTGAGGTGAATTCAGATGGCGCTAGACCAAATAGACTCGATTTACAAGCTAAAACCAGAGGGAAGGTGGCCTCGACTTGTACATGGCAGTTTTGGAAACCGTGTCAAGAAGATGGTGAGTGTTTTGTGACTTTATTTCACTCTTTTACCCATTGGGGGTGATGCTATCTCTAATGAGAACTCATGTTCGAGCTGCTGTTTAATATTCTGTATTGTTTTAGATTATTACTGTTTAGCATATATCTTAGATCTTTTAGCGTATCGTTTAGTGTTTGTTTAGCATATATCTTAGTGTATATCTTAGATCCTTATATACTGTTTCAGCAACACTATCAACAGTGCAGAAACACAAAATAAAAAAGGTCACCTCAAATGGATACCGCAAATAAGGACTGCTGAAGTGATCCCTTATCTAAAATCACCTAAAGCTCACTCATAGGCTGAAAGGATTAAAGGCGAAATTTGCAGAAAATGTTACTCCAGGTAAAATGCTTTTAGTCTTTCAAATTTTCCACATCCTTTTCTCTTTTTGTTGCAACTGCCTCTTCCACTAAGTGAACCAGTTCCACTGGTTTGGGATGAGCCTTCAACTTGAGCCTTCTTGTTTTTGCTACGTCAGCGTCATGTCACGAGTGACGACAGGACAGCATAAATGTGGAAGAGAGATAAGACGAATGATGCAGTTGTGTGGCTGAAAAACTTGCTAATCTATGTCTCAAACAATAAATCAATGCCGTTTTTTGTCCTGTGTGAGCGTTACCAGTGAATGTGACCCCACATAGTGTCTGAGAATTTGTATAAACTGAACAAGTGAGCAAAAAATAAACTTAAAACCAAGGATACACATATGAGAATCACCATTTATGTTGGACATTGAGTGCTTGTTTGTGAGACTGGAGATAGAGTGTTATCTTTCTTGTTTAACGCAGTTAAAATAGTCAATAGTTAGGCAACACTACCGTGGTCTACATGACAAAAAGAAAGGTGTTTATGTCAATGCACCTTGATGTCATTCTTCACACTTAACTGGAACATTCTTGAGTAATGTTTTCATTATTTAAGGAATAAGGAATTAAGATTAGCAAATGCAGACTCCTGTAATGCCTTTATAACAATACGGGTATAATAATTAAAAATAAAACTACCCAAACAGGCCAGAAAATACATTTTCAAAGGCGGAACTATTTAGTTACAATAAACCTATGGTTGTATAGAAGCCTCCTGAGTTCAAGTTGTGTATATTTGTCATATGCAAGGTTAACACAAGGTTAATAATACAATGAAAGGCTCAAGATGAGAAGAACCGATTTGACTCGCTTGAAAAAAACAAAGAACAATTGTTGATTTTTAGGACACATGTTAATTTCTTCACTATCTTGCTAGGGTATGGAATAATTGAGATTTTATATGCCTGGACCCTAATCTGTCCTGAGATGGACTCGCAGCCTGTTCAGGGTGGAAGTCACCTACAGTTTGGCCCATTGGCTGCAGGGTCAGGCAACAGCAAATGAAGTGGGTACAGAAAATGAGTGTGAAACTGATTACTTTTCTTAGTCATTAATCTTGGCTAAGTTACAAATCTTGTAAAAAAAATGGTACAACTTGTTGTCTAGTTACCGTGTTTGGTTTTCCCTTGTGTACCCACTGTTTTGTACTTGTATCATTTTTTGCTGCACAGCCAGCCTTTTGTTTTTTAAATTATTAAGTTTTATTTATGGTTCACTTTACGCTTCGTCCACGTTTTTTTGTCTGCACTGAGGATCCTCCACACCAGAACCATTTGACACACAGTTTATGAAAAGGACTGAATGGGCTTCATGACACATTGTATCTCTACATCGTGTACAGACAAGTTGTATCATGGCATTACCATTTTGTACACATATACTCACCATTGCGTTTATCGTGGACTTGCTCTATCGCGGTTTTTCAAAATAAGATTGGACATGACACACAATTGGTTGATTGATGGATGAGCTGCACAATCAGCATGGGAGTTTTATTTAAATTAAATTATTTTAAATTATTTAGCACCTGCTGCACATTTTCACAGAAAAAGCTTCCTCCTGCAGCTTTGTGCAGCCCATACTGCTGCAGGATAAACTTCCTGCTGCAGCTGAACAGCTGTTCAGCATGCAGAGCAGAGAAGTGGGCGTGGCCAAGAGCACTTGCAGGTGGCAAAAAGCAGAGGAGGCAGGGAGCTGAAATCATGACATTCTGCGCTCTTTTAGAACTTAAGGGTTTAGAAATATTGTTTAGAATATTGCAAGAGTGTGGGAAGGGTTTAAAACACCTTTATATATATATATATATATTTAAATAATAAAATAAAATACTACTTACTACTTGAACTACTATTCCTATTTCACAGTTTTTCACTTATCGTGGGTCTTTAGGGTACGGATCCCCCGCAATAAACGAGGAAATACTGTATTTAAACATGCAGCCAGCTTATCTAAGAGCAAAGACACTATGTTTGATGAAACTAACTTACACCTAATCAGAATTTACAGTGAGACCAGGTTTGTTTTATGGTTTGGAGACAGTGACATTAACCAAATGACAGCAGACAGAACTGGAAGTGGCAGAAATGAAAAAGTTGAGGTTCTTCTTTGGAGTGACAATGATGGATAAGATTAGAAATAAGATAATCAGAGGTGCAACACAGGTTGAACAACTGAGCGATAAAGCTAAAGAGGAATCGATGTAGGTGGGTTATCATAGCATAGCCACCTAAAACTTGCCCTCAACAAGAAAACAAGAGGCATAAAGTCACAAAACACTTGCCATCCTCTGCCATTTTCCAAAAATGTGGCAGAGTTGAGACTACCCTTGTCTTACACTAGTCAAAGCCTGTAAATCAAGTCTATCAGGTCTAACTCAACCTGAATTCTGTCGTCAGTCAATAAGAAACAAGCAACTTCATGGTTGATGTCACTCTCTAACCAATTAATGGACTGCAGTCTGCTGACATCAAATTTTCAGCTTGACTCACTTGGAACCTCGGTCAAGTAGGTTCTAGGAACATAGATGAAAGTTGGTGTGACCATCCACTGGAAAGACTCTGAACCCAAGCTGGCCCGACGGAAGGGGGGCCATGACCACCATTGGCCGCCCATCGGTTCAATGAAACTAACCTGTATAAATAAAGGCTGAATGAATGGGGGACATCAGCGTACTGCTTGTTAACGCTGATCTTCTCCTCTCAGACATCCACATTACCATTATCTTTCAAAGTACTTGAACTGGAACACTTCTACAGCTATTTGCAAACAAACCACAGGTACTAAAACTTTTATGACATGATCAAGAGCTTGAGGAACTGTATATGCTAACGTTTTTCTATGTATACAGGATTTTTAACAAGACAATGAACCTCATTAGTGACGGACAACCTTTGTCCGCCATTCTTGCTGAGGAAAAAAGGTATTTCTCTGCAGGGATCAACAAAGCTTAATAAAAAATAACTAAATAAAGCTTAAATGCAACCATATAGTAGATTCTTGTTATTCTATCTTCAGTGCACATTGCAAAATTATAATTTTATGCAGTGATACCAATAAGACAGCATCTTCTACTATAAAGATTTTGGATTTCCACAGAATCTGTTGACAGCAGCTTGGTAAACTGCCAAAAAGCTTCTAGTCCAAGATGCCTGTGTGTGTCCATGCCAGTAATATGCACTGCTTTGAAACTGACTCGACATCTGGCTTGCAGCTCATGTGCTCATTCACGCTCCGAGTTACATCAGCCAACACCAGCAGTACTTGGGATCCCTGCCGCACAGCAGGCCGTGACCTACATTCATCACTCAAGACTCATCACAGCCAATGAGGAGCAGGGATCCCAGACTAGTCCATGCTGTGTTGACAGGTGTTCCAACCTGCTATGGTATTTCCCCTCACCTACAGCTTTGCAAGAATCCTTGAGGTCTTTAAAAAAAATTCAGTTTCCCCAAACAGTTCAAGAGGTTATTTACTTTTACGCCATTTAGAATCCTATGATTCTTTATACTTTAGATGTGCTAAATGTTTCAGAATCCATTTTAACACAGCCAATGTACGCAAAACTAAACACCACAATGGAAATAAAAGTCTGACATAAAGGTCATGGAGTTTAAAAGGTTTAAAACTGTACTTGTTTGAAAGCTTATTCTGTTCTGGAGCATTCATACCTGCTCTGGAACAGACCTGAGTCTGATGATCAGTTTTGGTGGTGTGAATGCTGAACGAGTATCTTGTGTTTGATGAACATCGCATCATGTGTCACTCAAGAGCCACTACTGAGCTAAGAAAGCAACTACTCTGAAGCAGAAGCTAACAAGCACACTAATGTCCCCCATCCCTGAGGGGTCTGAAAAGTAAATGTTTCTAATTTTCCAGATGAATGTTTTTCTGGACTGGAATGGAACAGATAATGTAAGCAAGCCTTCATGTTTTGGTGCCAGATAATAAAGTGGGGAGGAGCTACGCTGTCTATAAGAAGAGAGGTATTTATGATATTTTTCATATTTAACTTTTTTATTTTTTGCTTGTTCAAGGCAGCGCAGAGTGATGAATCCTGGTGAGTGGAGGGAGCAATTCTATCCAACACTAGTTGCAGTGGAGGAGCCAAGGGGTGGGCCAATGGTGGCCTTGGACACCATAAATCAATTTTTGGCCACCCCAGTCATTTGAGAAACTTACTTTTACAGAATATAAAAACAAGACAGAACTGTTTCCTCAAATGATCGTGGTGGCCAGATTATTTGATATATTTTTACATATCACAAAACATACACATATAGCGGTAGCCAACTTGAATTTTGTTGCGACAACGTTTCAGTAGTGACCTTTCTTATGCTTTGATGCAGCCACACACCAAAATGGAAATCAATAGCTCACTTATTTTACAAGTTATCAAAGCTAACAAGATGGGATGGATGGAGGATATTTCCAGCTCCCTCTTCGCTCTGTGACAGCGGACAAAACTAAAAATCCACAGTAAAAACAAATTACTGAATTTTAACCAGTACATTTTGTGTAACAATACACATATTTTATTTCAGTCATTCCTAACTGGAGATGTGATGGCCTTCAATTTATGTAAAAAAATAAAGAAAAAAGAAGGTATTATTCATAGAACCCTTTGCATCCTAATGTGGGGGACGCTGGTTTTAGACCAGTTTTTTTTAGGAAGACTACACTTTAAGTGTTGTTTTTAATATATACATTTTGGCTTTATGAGTTTCTACTAATCCTAATTAGCATGAGAACATTAAAAACGCACACCAAGCAAAAGCTTGGAACTCAAGAGGATACCATTGTCTAGCCGAGGGGGGCCACCATTCTTTTAGGGGTGGCCATTGCACCCACCGACCCTCTTCTTTGGTAGCGCACCTGTACTATATATGCAGGTTGTCATGTCTCTAATGTAACTGTTTGTGGCGTGAATGTAACCAGAGCAACACTTGCTGATGGTAAATATTTTCTCTACATACCCCTGAAGGTATGTAGTCCTTCAGAGACCCCCACAGTCCCCATCTCCCCCATGACGCTGCTGGAACTTTCTGTTCCCAAAGCCGTCTTACTCCGTTTCAACAAACTGCTGCAGCGTATAAAGCAGAATATTTATCACCAATCTTTGGAAACTCTTGTATGAACACATTGAGGCACATTACTACCGGTAGTCTCTATCTTAACATTCTATCGTAAACTCAGAATACGGCCAAGTGGGCGCGTTGTACAGAAGCTGGAACAATGTAGGTGGAGCATGATCATTTAGAGAACAAGAGGTCTATTATGTAAGGTTTGAAGGCAAATTAGGGCAAACTGGTTTGAAAATGTGTAGTCACCATGTGGCAGCTGTGACTGCAGTAAATTTAGTCTGCAGGATGACACTGACATGTCCTGAATTCACCACAAAACATGCCCGGGCTCAAGTGGCGCCTTTTGTTTCCTCTTCTGAGTGAACAAGGACAGGATGTGAAACATCCAATAATCAGGACTGCCCGGGTGATTTGCTCTCAAACCTCAGGGATGGAGGTTTTTTTTATTTATTTACTGGACTCAAGAGAAGAAAGCGAAAACATCCAAGTGTAAAGCATGAAAAGCAGCGGAACCTCCTACAAAACAAAGACCGTTTTACATAATAAAATATGAAGAGGAAAAAAAAACTGTTTTTAAAGAGGAACGCCACCAACAAGTGAGACTTCCCATCAAAGTATAACAGGAACTGATCATTAGTTACATAAACTAAAATACAGGTTGTTTGCACTAAATTTGGTCTAATGTTTGCAAAGTTTTGCCCAGATATGAGACAAAGCTTGAAGCATGAAGCAAACTGGGAGTCCACTTTGTCATTTTTATTCTTTCAAATAGAAAGGCTAATGCAAGGATTTAAAAAAAGTGTGCAGAATGCAGAATTTTAGCTTTAAGATCAAAAGTGGAGTTTCCACACACTTCAGGCTCACACAGCACCACCCAGCATAAATAACGACGGTGTTGTAGCGTTACACCCACACCAAACATAAGATTTGAAGAAAAATGAACAAATTGTTGCTGTTTGTACAAGTTTCTGATCAAAGCCAGTTTCAGTGAACAATCAAGAATTAAACAGCTGCTTCCACACGTCATGGACGTCAGATGAAGGCAGCAGATAAATACAGGGTGGAGACAGACAAACAAACAAATAAACATGGGTGAAGTCTGGACTAAAGGCAAACTGCAGCTTCTTACCTTCACTGATCGTGTGGTGCAGAGCTGAGGAGGACTGAAAACAGGAGCTGGAGGTTCTGCATTTAACAGCAGTGGAAATTTCCATGAACCATGTGCTGCTGGTTCAGGAGCGTCGGGTTCCACCCAGACTGCTTGCTGGGGGGTCCTCCTTTCCCCCTCCTCTTCAGAACCCTCTGGTTCTGGGCTGGAGGTTTGGAGGCACCTTATGTCTTCAGACATTTTGTTTCATTAAATATGAAAATGAACGTTTGGTGCAATGAGTGTTTTTTTGTTTACATTCTGGGCAGAACCACCTAAAACCATTTAATTTTAGCTTTTAGCTTTAAGCCAGTATTTTGTTACTTTTAGGTAGTCTAATTGTACTTTTAGCTAGCCTATTGCAATGTTTAGAATATACAGTTTTGCTCCATTTAGCATTAAAACAGTGTTTTGCTAATTTTAGCTAATCTATTATTATTTTGAGCTCTCAGTTAGACTTTTGCTGCTTTTAGATTAAGTGTTTAACTCCTTTCAGTTTTTAGCCAGTATTTTGCTACATTTAACTAACTCTTTACTACATTTAGATTATAGCGTAACAAGTATTTTGCTTTTTTTTTATTTTTAGCTTTTATCAACATTTGGCTACTTTTAGCTAACCTTTCATCATTTTTAGCTGTCCTTTTGCTGCTGTAAAATGTTAGCTATAGTTTGGGTCCTTTTAGCTTTTAGTCAGTTACTTTTAACATTTAGCTGTTTTTCTTACTTTAAGATAGCCTTTTGCTACTTTTAGGAAATATAGTGTTTTGTTCCATTTATTTTATTTTTTTTCATTTAGACTTTATTTATCCAGGTTAGTCTCATTGAGCCACGAGAACTCATTTTCAAGAGAGACCTGTTTAGGGAGCAGATGGTGGGGGTTAAGGGCCTTGCTCAGGGGCCCAGAGTGGGGCGAATGAGGCTGCTTCCACCTCCGAAAGAGGTGGAGGCAGGTGTGGGTGTTTCACCTTTTCCACCCACATTTTGATGTTGACGGTACCGGGAGGTGAACCTGCGACTTTCCCATCACAAGCTGTTGGATTTCATATTTTTATACTTTTTTATATTTCCTATCAAGCATTCAAATGTCATGTTATACAAAGTGTGTGTGTGTCTTTCTTCCAGGGTTGCACTATATTTATAGAATATGTTTACTAATTCTAACTATTTTACCTTTACATATAATCTTATATTAGCTAATGATAATTTTACAAGTTCACATTTGATATATTACAAGCAATCAAATCATGCCAGATAGCAGACTGATTAACATAAATAAAGCTAGAATACATTTCTTTAATTTAGACTTAATACAGTTTGACTAAGTAAAATCCCTCAGGTCCTCTCTTAATAATAACAATTAACATTTAATCGTTTAATCATTGTTGAATACAGGGTCGGTTTAGCTGAGAGGACACAGGGTTAATCGTCACAGTAAGCTACAACAGCAACTAAACTAAAAAGTATAAAAAGGGATCAAGTAAGAACACGCAAACATGAGTTAGATAACAATTAATAGTTATTAATTATTCCTAGAAATAAACAACTTTAACTCAAATCATTTGGTATCACTAAGGTATAATCACGTTAAACAAACAGAGCTAAAACAAAGAACCAATTACAGTGTGCCATAAACTTTTAAACTAACGTCCTTCAGGGGGCGGGCTAGACCAGTAACCATGGCAACTGAAGGGCTAAACCAATCAGAGGAGCTAGCTTTTTCAAGCTTTTATAAAAGCCGGAAATGACACACGCTCAGCGGGCATTTCCGGGGAAGACCAGACCGAGATGGTTGGTTCTTTAATGCTCCAAATATATGCATATATTTTACTAATGTAATTGTGTGTCTCTGAATATCTGTAACCCCTGTTTGTCAAATAAATCTTTTATACCGAGGGCGATGTCTCAGCTGTCTTGAACACGACGTGGTAACTAGCCACGACAAAGCCCATCTTCTAACCTCTGCGCCATCACTCCCCCTAGCTTTTAGCCAGTGTTTTGTTCATTTTAGTTAGCCTTATATTCAGTGGCGGCTGGTCAATAGGGAACGTTAGGGCGCTGCCCCACCACTCAAACCAATCACATATTACCTTTAAGACAGAAAAAAAAAATAATAATAAAACAAAAATATTTCAACATATATGTAGGCTTATATATTTTTTTTGTTGTGTAAAATAAATATTTTATAGTTAATGATGAGTAAAGTTGTTCCTTTGAAAAACCCAAATAAAATTAAAAAAAGCCAAAAAAAAAAAAAAAAAGCCAAATAGCTTCAATAAAAAAATAAATGTACACAAAAATATATACAAATGTATGCTTTATACCTGGACAATATGTAGGCTACTTTGTAAAATGTGTCCTTGAGGGAAGAGTGTAACCTGGATTAAACGTGTGGATCGTTGTAGTGAAGCCTTCGTCTTCAACCATGGACAGAGGCCTCATGTCAGTGACGATCATTTAAAGATGATTTCAGTGAAGACATCTGCTGAATGTGGTGTCCATGATGTCTGACCATCATGAAGGCTGTCATTGTTTGTTGTCGTTTTCTGGAATTAATTCATTCATTAATAGATTTTTTTTTAAAAAAAGATAAGATATAAGGAAAGATTTCCAACACAGATACTTGCAGTAATGAATGTTCATCCAAGAAGTGTGACTTGAAGGAGCAGGGAGGCTCTAGACTGGTTTGTCTCCTTTTACATCAAGAGGCTCCTGATAATTTGATATTAGGCAGCAGCAGATAACCACAGCTGACTGACTGAACCTCCCGATTGACTGGTACTCCTTCACCCTTCACATGGCCCTCTCTACTAAAATCCTCAGACGAGCCTGGGTCTTGAGGGTGTCCTCCTTCCTGAGTTGCTGCTGCTGAGAAAGATGGACACAAGAAGAAATCAAAAAGAGAAATTAATCACATCAGAACATGGAAATGGTTTGACATATAGTTTTTAATTCAATATTTAAAATGCTATTCTAAACAACAGTGTTGGAAGATGTCAGAGATTTTACATTAATAGATAAAGTAAACATTTTAATGTTACAGCACTGACAGGCAGCAGCAGTGTAGAGTTTAGTTACCTGTTAGCTGCTAGCTTACTTTACAGTTGGAGGCTGTTTCCTTACACAGTTACAGAATGGTAAATTGATAAAGATGGATAACGTTACCACAGCTAACTAACACGTAAATACTGTTTTTATTAACTTACCTTGCGCTAAATCTTGTAATTTAACCTCTATAAATAAAGGTTGAATGAATGAAATTCCGTTAAGTTTACAGACAGGTCTCCCGAGGGAGAATAGACCCGGAAGTAACGATCAACATCGAGTCAGAACGTAAGTTGTCTGACGTCATGTGAAAAGGGTCTATTGTAAAAGACTGCGTGTTTGAATGAATAAAGTATAAACAAACCTTTTCTTTCTTTCTTCCTCTTCTTCTGGTGATATTTATTTGCGGTTGGAAAACGTCTTTCTTCCTCCAAGTTTATTTTATGATTTGTTCTTTGTTCGACTGCCCCTAGTGGTCTGGAGCACTTCCATTTTTGTGGAGGAGCTTGCGGGTTTTCTCACCGTTTGCAGCGTTTTTCTGTTTTGTTACATGTGGTGCATTTGTGTTTGCACGTGTTATTTGTGGTTGCATGTTTTTTTGTGTTTGCATTTGATATTTTAGCGTTGTGTTTGTTTTTTTGTTTGCATGTTTTTTGTGTTTGCATTTTGTTTGTGTTTGCGTGTTTTTGAGTTTGCATCATACATGTGTTTGCTGCGCGTTTCGCCGTTTGCTGCGCGTTTGCACCCGTCGGCCACCGTAGATAACAAACAAGCAGCAACTTCAGCTACCAGAGAGACTGACGTTACGTTTTCTCACTTGGAAACAGAACAAATGTGAATATTGTACAGACTCACCTGCTGAGCTCCTTCATCCTCATCGATGACTCCGACATGTTTCCCTTTCATCAGCGTGGTGCTCCAGTGTCATGTTGTCACTTTTGCAAAGCGTTAGAGATGTTACGCATTTTTTAGCTTTGTGAAGCGTGAAGTGATCCCACACTTTTGAGGACTTGGGCCGAACCATTTTCTCTGCATCGGTCATTTGTAAAATTTACTTAATTTTCTTTGAAAACACCGCCTCTGCTCTGCTTCCGCCTTGCTCCGTTCAACTTGCTATGAAGGTTTTTTTTACTTTATTCAATCAGCCAGTGTTGACAATGCTCTGCAGGTGAACAAAACGACTCCGCAGTGCTGTGAAAGATGCATCATCGTGCGACACAATGAATTAATAATGAAATTCATTGCCAACACTTTTAATAATCGATTTTTATAGATTTTATCGATTTGTTGTTGCAGCCCTAACACACACACACACACACACATATATATGTGTGTGTGTATAGATGTATATATACTTAT